CACAATTTTAAAATTCACTTCTAATTTTTTAACTAAAGTAATAAGTACTTACTGTAAAAAAGTTATATTATGCCAAAGTTTATAGTAAAGTATAAAAATTTTACCTCCCACTCTCCTAAAATTAGTTGCCTGCTTGCATTTCTTTATAACAGAGCCAGATGAGATAATAAAATGAAAGTGCTGTGTTAACGCTGAAGCATATTTCAAATGCAAGGCATTATTAGTGTAAATAACGATACTCATCAAAAAGACAGCATAAAGGAAAACACTGCCATGTTACAGCGTGCACTTGATAACTATATAGCAGTAATAACTAACCAACAAAATTGGTGGTCTGTTATTTTACAATCAACAGACAGTAATTAAGCAACAAACGTCAACTACTGCAGTTTCGATTTGATAATAACCAGATAGGACACACCAGAAGAATGTGCACATACGAGATAAGCCTCCTCCTCCACCTGAAGTAAGTACACCCAAGTTGTCACCCAGGGAGTCTAGACTGCCTCCAGGGCCTTATATGGAGTAAAACTTGTTAAAGAAGGAATGTGAGATTCTCTGACTTGTGGCCAGAGTTAGGACTGTCTATGGAGTAGGCAGGGAAAGAATGAGAGGTAAGGTGATCGTCAAGCCTAGTTCAAGACCAATACCTTCCTTCAGAATCCAGCTTCTATTCTGCCTAAGGAGAAAGACATTCTCATAGCCTATGAACCCCCAACTGTGTGGGCTGAGGGCAGGGATGGGTCCGGGGTATGGAGGTGGGGGGAAGCTATGACAACTTTGGGGATCTACTACCTGTAAACATGCTGCTTTCGTGGGCTGCATCTTGAAGAGAATTTCTCATGCTGTGTACCATGCAAGTCAGATTCTGGGCTGGGAACTAGTCTTTCCATTCTAGCTTGAGGCCAGGCTGCTGCTGCCTCGGTATGATCTGGAAGTGGTAAGTCAGGCCTTGCTGCAGGGCAGAGGACAGCTGGACATGAAGGACTGCAGGAGAGGCAGAGAGAGGACAAGACCAGAAGAGAGATGGAAATGTTAAGCTCTTGGCCATGCCTGCCATTAACCCCTTAGGTGACCTCACAGCTAATTTTCCTTAGTGTGGTATCTGTAAAATGAGGTGGCACCTCTGCTCCGCTTGCCTCAAACTAAGTTCTTGTTAGAAGAGAGTGAGAGAAAAAGAGCCAGAGGGAAAAATAAAGTGAGACAGAGAGAGGAGGGAATGGGTAAGGGGAGATAATGAACAGAAAAATATACCAAAAATTAAGCCTTGTCTCAGCACTTCCTAAACTCTGTCTATGCCATATAACTAAGTATCTGTATGTTAAGAGTAAACACACTTTGGGAGGCCAAGGTGGGGGGACCACTTGAGGCTAGAAGTTCAAGATCAGCCTGGCCAACACAGCAAAACCCAGTCTCTATTAAAAACTCAAAAAAATTAGCCAGGCATGGCGATGCATGCCTGTTGTCCCAGCTACTCAGGAGGCTAAGGCACAAGAGCAGCTTGAACCCAGGAGATGCAAGTTGCAGTGAGCTGAGGTCGCACCACTGCACTCCAGCATGGGCGACAGAGCAAGACGCTGTCTCAAAAAAAAAAAAAAAAAAAAAAAAAAGTTAACACAAAAGAAGAGAGACATTTGGGAAAGAACCGCTTAAACAAAGATAACTTTTAAATTCATGCTTTTATTTATCTATTCAACATATATTTAGTGAGCACTGGTTAGGTTCCTACTACCGAATAAAACAGACATGGATTTTCCTTTATGGGGCTTACCATTTGATGTGAGAGAAGGACACTAAATAGCTTGAATAACTTATTTGGAAACATTATCATCTATAATATAAGATGTACTATGAGGGAAATAGAGAATTACAGTAAAAGAAAACAGAAAATTAGGGGAGATCTACTTAGGTGGAGTTTGAGCAGGGAAGTCTTTACTAAGGAAGGAACATTTAAGAATCCTAAAGGAACAGAAGGAGATGGCAACACAAAGCGGGAGCAGGCAGCAGAGAGGGAGCTTCCTGGGTGGAAGATTCAGGTGGAGCACAGGCCCTGAGGCAGGATAGAGGACAGGAGAGGAAGAGGCTGGAGCAAAGTGGACAGGAGACCAGAGAGCCTTTTCTATGTTATATGTTGTGTGCATCTCCAAGAGCTAAGGATAAGCCCTGCTTCCCGAAAAGGTATTACAGAATGTCAAAATGGGATGCGTCAACCAAGCCACTAAGATGGATGAGATACCAGATTCCAAAGTAAAATGCCAGGCCTAGATGCAGTTTTTCAAAGAACATAGCCCAAAACTTTTTTCACTGGTCTTAAACCTCTTACCTACGGTGAGGCTACAAGTAAGTAGGGCTCTTTGTTGGTGGCTAAAAGGAGAGAGTGTTTGAAGAAAGTAGGCTGCAGTCTGGTCCTAGCCTAAAGGACTAAGCATAGGGAGAGGTAAGAGTGCCCTCTTCCTGCTTCTCTCCTTTCCAGCCTAGCGAGGTACTCAACAGGACTACCTGGAAAGTGTGAGACTCTTATGATATGGAAGGCACTGTGACCTTGTCTGGGACTTTGGCCTAAGGACTCTGAAGAACTGGAGAGCTGGCTGGATGCTGACGGACAAGCCAAAAGAAACTAGACCTGCACTGGGAGCAGCCTGTCCTCTCCCAGTTGGTGGGAACAAGGAGATGTGAGTGTTTCCCATGGATCACACCATGCGCATATGTACAGGGCTATACACTAGGGTATTCCCAACAAGGGCCACCTGGGCAGCAAGAGAACCCAGTAGACGGGAATACGAATGGATTGGTGGGCTTTCTAGAGACTGTGGAATGAGTCTGCGATTAGGCTGAAGAGTGCGGCAGCCCCACCAAGGAAACTGGAAGAGGCCCCCAGAGACAACGTGAGAGGGTATCTCCAAAGAACTCACTAAAGGGCCCCCCAAGAGAAAGAATCAACTGTAAACACCCACAACACAAAGAGAGCTCGTCTATGATACCGCCTGCCAAGTAAAAACTTTCCTACACTCCTTCCTGTTCCCCACCCAGCCCTTAAACCCAGCACAGAAGTCATAGCTACTGAGTAAGCAAGAGAAAAAGCCTCCAACCACAGCCCCTTCTCCCTGCAACAGGCCCTAGCCAGGGGAAGGGGAGCAGTTATACATATGAATGAGGTTGGAAGCTTTGACTATCCCATGATACTAGACATTTTAAGTATCTGGCAAATTAAAGTCGGGCTTTTTTATTATATATGAGGAATCAGAATAGCCACGTGATAGATACATTTTCATCCAAAACAGGGGAAATGCTTTCCACTAAATAAATTTTAATGGAAGAGTGGGAGACTTGATGAAGTTGTTTTTTGATGGCCTCCCATGAAAACTATTTGTTCAAGCAGATTACACATAAAACCCCATTGTGCTAGCACATGTCATGGAAAATGTGCTTTCCAAAAATGAGGCCCAGCATGCCCCAGCTTGAGGATAAAGACCACTGTGGTTTGTGGGTTCACTTTGTAACATTGTCCACCCTTAGCCAGGCCATGCAGAGCCTTCAGTAACTATGGCAACTGAGGCTATGGACCTCCTGCCTACATCAGTTGTTCTCGTTCTTACACCTTCCTCCCTTTTCAGGAAGACAAATGTGTTTCAGGAAGGAATCCCTATCACCGGGAACCGCCACCAAGCTCAGCTCTGATCCTCCTGAAACAAGCTCTGACTGAGTCCCCAATATTGTGTCTTCTGAGTCTTCTTCTTAGATGTCACCTTAACAGGATTCCCAGCACACTTATCTGGCACCCAGCTGAGAAGACCAGAGCCTCAACCCATACTCAGCAGGAAACTCAACTAGTATCAATGGAAGGACAGGGGCCTCTTTAACTCCACCCATTCAATCTCGCATTGTCTTATGTGTCATGAAAAGCAAATCTTAACATGCAGGGCAGTAAAACATGACATGAAACTCATCTTCAATAAACTGGCACTTTGGTTAAACAAATGCGAAAAAGTCAACAGCCACATCATCCTTCTATGCCAGGGGGTTTTATTAAATCAACATACACTGACCAAGTCTTTCTGATATTGGAAATACTGCTTACCAAATCTATACCACCTGAAAAGGATTTCTTCTCACTCATACGTACAGTTCCTATGAAAGCTCATTCAAAACTGACATTAAAAGATGCTTTGGGCCAAGTTGGCTCACGCCTGTAATCCCAAATTTGGAAGGCTGAGGCTGGATGTTCGAGCCCAGGAGTTTGAAACCAGCCTGGGCAACACAGCGAAACCCCAACTTCAGACTAAAATAAAAACTTTAAAAATTAGCCAGGCATGGTGGCGTGCAAACATAGTCCCAGCTACTCGGGAGGCTGAGGCAGGAGGATTGCTTGAGCCCGGAAGGTTGAGGCTGCAATGAGCTATATTTGCACCATGCTAGCCTGGGCAACGGAGCAACAACCCTGTTTCAAAAATTTAAAAAAGAAGTTTTGGCATTTGGGCTCTTTTTCAAATGAACAGCAGAGGATCTGAAGGTTTCTGGGCCTGCTCCCCACTAGGTTCTGAGCTCTTTGAAGGCAGGGACTATGTTTCATCCACTTTCGTACAATCCTGGGGCCTAGGACAAAATCTGGTACAAAAGAGTGTTCATTCAAAGTCTGATAGCTGATGAGTGAGTGAAAAAATGAACATGCTGGCTCCTATTTTAAGTGAGATTTGTGTGAATACTATAATTAAATCTGTTTTTAAAAAGAGAGGGACCCGCTATCCATCACTGTTGACCACTCTATTTCAGACCATTTTGAGTATGTTTATTTGAATCTTGCAGTCAGTTAGTTCTTTTGTGTCAGATTTTCCTGGGGCACCTCTTTCTATAGGCTCCTGAGGCCACCCATATCAGCTGCCCATTCACACCACTGAGAAACCGCAAAGATCCTGCATGGTATTGGGCTCCATCAAAGGGAATCAATGGGTCTCTAAAAGGGAATAATACTGCTTTAAGATAGGTATTTTCAAAAGAATTACCTTTCACCTCTCTCCTAGAAGGACCTTTGGAGCTGAAGCAGAAAAAGAAAAGACCCTCAAACCCAACACTGAGAGGTATCAGGCACCAGAGAAAGGTCACAGGACTAGGTTTGGATGGCTCTGCAGTCACGTCTCAGCTCTGCTGGGCCTCAGCTTCCTCATCTGTAAAATGGAGATAATAAAACCTACCTCAAAGAATCATTGTGAAGAGGGGAACAAGTGAATGTATGAAGGCTCTTATTATAGCCCTTAACACATAATAAGGGCTCAAATGGCAGTGAGTTTTATTATTATTATCTAAATATAACACAAATTACACACACCTACCTGTATATTTAAAGATAATTTTGTGTCTGAGTGGTCTACAACTCTCAAAGGAGCTGAGTTCCAAAACTCAGCTGTTTAGAATGTGGAATGCACTTTCCCATGGAAACAATGCTACAAATCATAAAACTTTAGAATCAGAAACTAGTTGACCTTACAGTACATGTAGTGATGTAGTAAAACTTCCCACTAAATGTAGGATTGCTTAATATAGGCTCTCTGGTGTTTAAATTCCAAGCAAGGCCACCAAAACCAATATAACTTATATTGTCATTGAAAACACATGCAAGCAAACAAATAATAGTGGGAAATGATTTTTTTTGGAAGCTTGGTTAATTAAAGTATATACCTACAATGAAGCATATTTGCTTTTAAAAATGGTTAAACAGACTGCATATATTACTAATACAATGATGTTTATAGCATACTGTTAAGTGAAAAACTCAGGTTATAGGCTTTGTATAGTATGACACACATCCTCATGTTTTTAAAATATGTATCTACATGTTTAGTGTTTGTATGTGTGTGTGTATACAAATCTGCTTCTTTTATAATTTTGAGACAATTTCAAATGTTTAGAAAAATTACCATTATAGTACAAAGACCTTTCATTCTGAGCCATTTTTGAGTAAGCTGCTGATATGAAGGGCTTCAGATGAGCCACCCAGGGAGCTGTCTCAGTCCCTGGAGGTTGCGGGGGACACAGGGGCTGATATTTGACTCCTGTTTCTCAAAACACTTAATGGAAGAACATTTTAATTATTATCCATATGGTAATTTTCTAACACACTTCCAAAGAAAGAGAAGCTTATACATAAACCCTAATATAATGTGTTATCTCAGGAGACACTGAGTTAAATAGCGGAAAATAATTTTTAAACATTCAGTAATATTTCAGCTTCACATGTTGTTCTAACCTTAACTAAGATTTCCTTCCAATGCTGAACTCATATGGAGGTGAGGCAACATAAATTTCTTATGAGTAGGGCCATGATAACCTACCCGGCTTCTCCCCACCCCCAACAACTGCCGCCCAAATTTTCCAATTAGTAATATGAGATAAGGACCCTATCAGCAGCATGAACAAAATGCAGCAGGCCCATGGAGGAGAAAGTGACAACTGGGGTGCTAGGAGGGTGAAGAGAAATGCCAAAGAGAGGAAGAGGTCGGGTAGAGGAGGGAGGCAGAGAACAGAAAGAAAAGGCTTGGTTACCAAGTTTCCCTTCTTTATCCCTCTGCTCAGAGTCAGCCCCATCGCATCTGGTTGTGCACAAGCGAAACTATTTCTGGAGGTCATTCCCCAGTGAATTGGTGCGCTTTCGAGACAACTGGAGAAACTGTTATGTCACAGGCTAATGTCATTGTTTAGGGGTCATCCCTCATCCTCCTCCTTGACCCATGGCCATGGCAGTCTCTACACATGCAGGGACAGCAAGAAGGCAGGGTGCTCTAGGATATTCCTACTGCTTGTTCTCTGGAATGGAATCAACTCACTGCACTTACAGTGCATTCACAAGCCAAGCATGCTTAGTTTCGCAAATGCCTGCAACATTGTCTTCAATATGGAAAATTCCAAAGAAACTGCAGAAGTGACCAAGGAAATCTAGTTTTGGATAAAAACTCTAAGTCCTAATTAGATGACATGGGATAATGTTAAGTGAAACAAAATTCATTTTATGAAAGAGGTGCCCCAGGAAAATGATTCCAGTTTTTGAATTTATGTACACACACTGTTTTAGGCATTCTTAGATATAACTCCTCAGAAAAAAAGGAAGCTAATACTCCAGAACATGAACAATGATTTTATCTGTGTTAAGGAATGAAAGAGCATTATATTTTTTTCTTCATAATTTTCTGAATTTTCTAAGTTTGGTTAAATGGGCAAATAATTATATAAAAGTGGGAAAAATGGCATTTAGAAATACTAATTTGAGATTTTGAAGCTAAAAGAGTCCTTAGAAATGACCTGATCTAAAACTTATCCCAATCTCTCTCAGGTTTATAGGTAAAACACCTCTGGCACACCAAGTGGCTTCTGAGCCTGAAGTCTTACAACTCGAGGATAATTAGCTACACCATGGGTTGAACTCAGATCTTGTGACATTTATGGTCTGTGCCACTCCTGTAATATCACGTTGCCTAGAGTCAGAGACTAATGAACTTCATAAGGAAATAAACCATGAGGAAGGCGCAAGCCTTAACTGTGCACACCTACATTTCTCACTAAATAAATATTTGCCTTAGAAGAATATCATAATTTTATGACATGCAAACAATTCAGTTGCTAAAGGAGCTCCAGTGATTTCATCAGAGCTACTGAACCAGAGTCCTAGTTAGGAGTTTGAACTCCTGCATTGCATAGAAGCCCACTTTCAGAGAGCTGCATGATAAAAATATATTAAAAAGCACCTTTGTCCTTATGCTAGGTATCTGTGATTATAGAGAAGACACAGGCTATTTCCGTCTTCTACCGTTGTGAACTACACATGCAACAGCCACTTATCTTCCAATCCATTGTATCATACTGTATTAGAACTACTTAACATTTAGTCAGCCCAAAAACATGTACAGAAATCAGATAAACTAAAAAAGCTTTCTGAAAGTATCCATGTCCTAAAGGCTTTAAGTACTTCTATTTATAAATAAAAAGCCTTGTTAGGAGCCATGTAACATCTAAATCTCACCAAAAGATCTGTCCCAAGATCTTCCGTTTCTTCAGGGAGAAAATTCAGACATTTGATACAAACACATGTATAGCAGAGCCTTGAGCCACATGGAAACAGCTTCCTGTTTTGCTCCATTTATCTTACTGGTAGAGATTGGGAAAGGTTTCTAAGTAAAGGGTGGGGAGCTGGCCTACCAAGGACACAGTAGCAGGGAAGGACTGGTGACAGGTGGTAAAGTCGATCTGTTTTTCAGATAAGCAAAGAGACTCTATACCTGGTCACAGCCACAGTGGATAGCTTGTCTCCTGCCCAACGTGCTAACCAGGAGCATAATACATGACCCCGGGATGTACCTTTAGCTGGCAGAGAGCATGCAGGAGACTGGGCAATACGTCATTCTCTTGGGTTCAACAGTAATAAGCCTAGACTGAGAACCTGAAATTAGCTGTGCAGGTCACATGAGCTTAGGGCAAAGCCTCAAGCATGCATAGGCACAGCAGAGGAGAAAGTGCCTGAAATGAGCACTGAAAGCATGAAAATGCTGCCTGGGGAGAATTCTCAATGGAAGGAGCTAAAGGAGAAGTGCAGGAAACAGCAGGCTGGGAAGTATTGCAATCTGAGATATCACAGGCTACAAAATATTCCTCCAACCAAAATTATATTGGTATTAAGGGAAGCCCTAAAAAGGAGGCTGACATTTATATGTTTAAATATAAATGCAGAATTCTTAAATATTTTAAAGGTTTTTTTTAGGCCGGGCATGGTGGCTCACGCCTGTAATCCAAGCACTTTTGAGGCCAAGGCGGGCGGATCACCTGAGGTCGGGAGTTCAAGACCAGCCTGACCAACATGGTGAAACCCCGTCTCTATTAAAAAAAAAAAAGAAAAGAAAAGAAAAAAGAAAGGTTTTTTTTTTTTGAGAAGGAGTGTCCCTCTGTCGCCAGGTTGGAGTGCAGTGGTGCAATCTCAGCTCACTGCAACCTTGGTCTCCCGGGTTCAAGCGATTATCCTGCCTCAGCCTCCCAACTAGCTGGGACTACAGGTGCATGCTACCACACCCAGCTAATTTTTGTATGTTTAGTAGAGACGGGGTTTCACCATTTTGGCCAGGATGGTCTCGAACTCCAGACCTCGTGATCCACCCACCTCAGCCTCCCAAAGCGCTGGATTACAGGCATGAGCCATGGCACCCGGTCAAATATTTTAAAGTTTTAAGGAAAGAATATAATAGGCTAAAGTGGCCTCTTGTCTCTGTCAGTCAAAATAAAGTACCCAAAATGGGTCAAGAACTATACTACCATATCGCTCAAAAGACCTACAACTCTGAGAACTTAATCTAAGTATATAGACAAAATAAGCCAAAGGCTAGATTGTATGAAGATGTACAAATGTTGTATCTTATAAAAGCAGAAAATAGCCAGGCGCAGTGACTCACGTCTGTAATCCCAGCTCTTTGGGGGGCTGAGGTGGGCAGATCACCTGAGGTCAGGAGTTCAAAACCAGCCTGACCAATATGGTGAAACCCCATCTTTTAAAAAAAAAAAAAAAGCAGAAAATAAAAAGAGTTGATGATATTTGAGGAGTGATAAAAGGGGAAACAGATGAAGCAAGAGTAAACTGAGGCACATGAAATAGTTTCAACTCCTTTATAAATGATAACATGAAGATATGAAATAGGAAAATAAAACGAAGTTTAGAAATTCAAAATTAAATGGTCATAAACATTACGATGGAATCAAAACAGTGGTGATGGAGAGGAAGCTAGAGAAACAGTTGATGATCAAATGCTGATGCAGGCCAGGCTTGTTCAGGGTAGGCTGACAGAGAATGGAGAAACTGAAGGCTGGACCCCATGGTAAAGCCATGGAGAACCCTTTGGGCTGGTGAAGAAGAGGATATAGGCTCATCCAGAAATACCAAGGCATGGGCCTGAGCCCAAAGGGGGAAAAAATAATGTTAGCCTTTCTGAGATCAAAGTGGGCTCAAGTACACTGTTTGAAACTTGGATTGAAGTGTTGAAAATGTAGGTGGTTTAATATGATCCTGAAAAAGGTTGATCTGAAGGAACTTGCAGATTAAAAGAAAAGGGGCGTCTTCTCAGAGAGGGCCTGAAGGGGTCTGTTTAAGCTAGATATCTGGAAGGGTCCATTTAAAAGTCTAGAAATTTGGCCAAACTCGCTAAGGGACATGAGAATGAGGTTGTACGGCCTGATACCACATGAGAGCGGGAATGGAGCAAAGTGATTAACTTCACCCCACCCCTTCCCATCCCCAGCTTTCAGATAAGAATACGCATCCCAAGAAAGGTGATGCCAACTGCTGGCTAAAGATGACAACTAGCTTATGGTGGTGACAGGAACAGTACTCACATCTTTTCCTCTCAGTCCAGCAATTCTTTATTATCACATGCTCTCACAGCAACCATATGTAGGTGGACCCAGAATTCCCCTACCACACACAAATTAACCTTAAAAGTCATTTTCACTGTACAAGTACTATTGTTTTTATTTCTAATTGGTGAAATTCAAGAAGGCCAAAAATAAAGAAAATCAGCTGTTGTTTCAATTCTAAATACAGCTTCAATTTTAGAAGTTCTCATTATTTCTGTTAAATATATCTAGTTGGTGTTGGCCTACTTTCAAGATTATATTATGAAGATTTATTCTATAGGTTTATGTCATCAGCCATATAAGAAAAACCCTAAATACCTGAAACTGGAAACCACTTTCCGGGTAGAGGAACACACAGTCATTACCTATGTTATGGCATATGAACAGAATCAGCTATGAATTTACTGCATTATTCTGTCATGCTCCAACATCTCTCTATTATGTGCGTAAGGAGACCTGTGAGAGATATTTGTCAAATGCTTTGATGTCTTTGGCATTATCTTCCAATATAAAAGCCTCTTTTATAAAAGAAAATGTGATAATTGGTCACTACACATTAGTAGATTTATGCTGGTTCCTAAGGATCAATGCAATCTCTTCTCTGGACTCCTAAATAATTTATATGATGATAGTTCAGAAA